AGCTGAATCACTGCCAATATAGGCCTACACTAAAAGCAACCCTAATGGTCTATACAGGAAGTTCAAACTGCAGCTGTGTACAAAGTTGAAACTGGAAAACACAGGGAATCACACATACACAGAATCACATTCAGAAAGTTCAGACATAGGAAAAAAAAAAAAAGAAAGTTCAGACACTATTTATCCCCACAAGGGAAAAGAAGCCTCTGTGACAGGAAGGGACTAATGGCTTTCTTTACTCCAATTTCTGTGACCAGTTGTACTTACTCAACAACATGACAATGCATGCACTGGCTACTGAAGCAGAAAATGCACTGTCACAGTTTCTCTGGCTTGTTGTGCTCTCTCCCTATAACCAGGCACCCATTTGGGATTCAGAATCGTTACTCCACACTGACATCATGATTAGCTATCAAAAAAAAAAGAGCACAACAAGTTGCCATTCATGAAGTGGAAAGCAAGAGGAGGACAGAGATCATCTTGTTTTTTTCCATATATCCCCAGTTACATCCCTAACTACCTAATTTACAATTGTTCTCCCCCAACCCCAATCTGGCACTCTCCAGAGCCTTGCTTGATTTTAATCCATAGTATTTACCACTATCTATCATACGATATATTAGACTTACTAATTTTGTTTATTGCTATGTCTTCTCCAACTAGAAAATAAGTTTTATGAGGGCAAGAGTTTTTGTCTGATTTGTTCATTGCCATTTTCCTAGTACCTAGAACAGTGCCTGACCCAAGGAGAAGGGGGAAGCAGAAGAGGAAATTAGAACAGGGAAGACTTTTCCCTTCCCATCTGTGATTCACCTCTTCCAATTTTACCTGTACTACTCTTTCTCAGGCTCCTCTTCCTCTGCTTGCTCCTTTTAAAACATTTCCAGGGCTCTAAGCTTCACATTCTTCTCTACAGTCTCAATTTATTCTCCTTATGTAAACTCATCCACAACAGAAACTTTCAATGATTACCTAAACACAGACAACTCCCAAATCTACTTCTCTGGGTCAAACCCTTTCTCTAGTTCTAGACCCCCATAGTCAACTACCAGACAAAAATCTACCACCTAAGTTTCTCTCATCCATCCCTTCCTCTCTATTCCTACTCACACTATCCTATCTCACTACTCAAATCACTTGATTAATTATTCTGTGAGACAGGAGAGTACAGTGGTTAAGGTCTGCTATCAGAAAGACCTGTATTCAAGTTCCCAGCTCCACCTCTTCCTTAGTAGAGCTAGCTTTCTGTCCCAGGACAAGTTATTCTGCAAGCTTCAGTTTTCCCACCTGCAAAATAGGATAATATTATAACAGTCAAAATAGCACTTTACTTAGGGAAAATTATTCGGGTGCTCCTCAAAACCTACTGGCTCTTATTTCAAAGACAATTTAAATAGTATTGGTTTCTCCTTATTCCTGACCCATTCTTAGTTTTATATCTCCTTCTTTCTTTGTAATAGATAATATATATTTGTATAATACATGTATGATCTCACATTCTAGTGACAGAAAGAATAGAAAGCTACAGAAGAAGTTGGGCATTACTTTTGGAATAACTCAATTTGAGCCCTAGTAGGATCAGATTTTTATGGGACATTCCATTCCATGCAAACTGTAGAAAGCAGTCTTCCATTTATAGCTTAGAAAAACATTCTTCTATTCTAGTCTGTCAAGTTCCATTCAGATGGCACAATATCACTCAACATCAATATATGATGTCAGCCAAAGTACTGGAGCCTGGCAGAAAAAGGAGAAAGACTGCATAAAGAAGAGCTCTCTGCATATTTCTTATTGTTTCTTGACAGAGTTATCTTATTATGGAAAAATTAGTGCTCAAAGTGATAGGCAGTAGCTACATAGTTCATAGGTATAGCTTGGAAATGCTCTCAGAAATTCAAATTCAGGGACTTGACATATTTATTGATACCATACAGTTAGTAAGCCAACTGTGACCAAAACAGGATGATATATCTGTTCCTGAATTTTAGAACTAGAAAGCCATTTAATTATTACTGAGCTAAAACACTTAATCTAATAAATTTCTAGTTAGCAAGCAATAAAATAATGACTCTAAACAATAAAAAAAATTAATACTACACAAATATTATTTACTTATGACAAGAAGAGGTTTGGAGAAGACAAAGCTCTTAGAATTATTATTAGGATTTACTTCTGAATTAACATCAATACAAATTTAACAATTATATTAAAACTAGAGAGGCATTAGAAAAAGATACATAGTTTTTGGAGCTAGGTAAAACTTAGCTTAAATTCTGACTACCCTTCATGAGCTAATTGGGCAGGTTACTTAAACTCTCTATTTCCTCCTCATCTGTAAATGGAGATAAAAAATACCCAACTGACAGGATTAAGAGATTAGTGCTAATATTGTATAAATTAACATATTTGTGGGCCGCCTGGTGGCGCACTGCTACAGTGCACTGCTTGGGAGCGCGGTGGCACTCCCGCCGAGGGTTCGGATCCCACATACAGACCGGTTCCCACTCACTGGCTGAGCGAGGTGCGGGCACGACACCGAGGGTTGCGATCCCGTTGCCGGACACGAAAAAAGACAAAAAGGAAAAAAAAAAACAAAAAAACATACTTGTGAAGTTATAAATATTGTGAAATTATGATAATATTGTATAATTTGCTATATTGACATATAGTTGCTCAATAAATGGCAATTACTACTTTTCAAATACAGCTGTCTGAACAATATCACTAAATAGTCATATAGTACTACTCTACAGTCAATTGGTGATCATTCTGACTAAACTACACAGAGTTCAAAAAAGCTAATAAATCTAAAGCAATCCATTTTTGGTTATGAAATACTTACAATTATTTTTGCAGCAAATTAACTATATCCAGGTGAAGGCTATGCATAATGGAAACAAAAAGTTGGCTATGTTCAAATCAATCTTTTAAGAATAAGTTCTTTTCCCAATAGATTAATAATTTAAGAAAATTTAATGTCCATACAATTATACCACATCTATCTTGCTGTTTTAAAACCAGCATTTGTACAGTGCCTAGCATATAAGGTACCCACTAAACATTTGTTTCATTGCAGTCTACATTTACCCACTTAAGATTATTCCAGAGAAGTGGTCCAATGCTAGACAAACAACCCAAAGTAATAAAGAAGCATGCTTGAGAAGTAATTTTAATAGAAAATTAGTCAGAAATCTTTTAGTCTTTAAAAGGCATAAAAGGGCCTTACTAAACCACCAGCATAGACCCACTGTGAAAAGGTAAGACTAAATCAGAAAATTAATTGAAGAAAAGTCCATCGACTGGTAGTGAAAGAGCCAAATCTTCAAGGAGATGGGGGGCCACAACTATACAAATAAAAATACAAATATATTCATCATAAGTTGAAAGGAAAGACATAAAATAAGCAAGAGACATAAAGATTTTCCAACAGTCTGTTCACCCTTATACACCTAGGAATAGGAGTTGTTCTAGTTCATTAGATTCAGTTCACTTTTACTGGTTTTCCGTTGTGTGCTATGCAGTGTAGCAAGAATACTAAAGATGAGGTTCAAACTGGTACAGAAGGAAGTCACATGCACAAAGCTGCTATATAATACACACGTGGAAGCCTGGAACCAAGACAAGAATCTGATTCCCTACCCACTCTAGTCTTTTCCATCTTTTCACCTTCTACTAGTTTGGTTAATCACCCATCTACTTTTAAACTTGAAGTGCCAGAAACTTGAATTTTTGAGTTACTTTACTTTTTTTCTCTTAAAAAAAAAAGTTTTTAGCAACTTCCATTTTATTAGGTACAGTATGTGCAATGTTTTTTTTGTTTGTTTGTTTGCTTGTTTGTTTTTGTTTTAAAAGATGACCGGTAAGAGGATCTTAACCCTTGACTTGGTGTTGTCAGCACCACGCTCACCCAAGTGAGCCACGGGCCGGCCCCCAGTATGTGCAATGTTAAAAACAAGCTCTAATAAAAATCTATGTGCACCTTTAAAAGGCTTGTGATACATTTTAAAGACGTACATCTCAAATTCTCCTTGGAACAATGAAGATAATGTACGTCTGCTACTTCCTTCCCCAAGTGAACCTTAACTTTACGATCAGAAGCACTGACCGCCGGTTTCGGTTTTAGCAAAACACGGAGAGTTAGCCGTCACGGTAGAGCCTCCTTCTGACAGGCTCCGAGCGATCTCATCCAATTCTTCTGGTCTCGATTTATGTTTTTCTCCCTCCCAAAGTTGAAGTTTAGCTTAAATTTTGTTGGAAAATTAATTTGGTAATATTTTGATGTCATTTCCTTCAGTTTTTAAATTTGTAATGGAATCGTAAATAAATCTTAAATCTTACACACGCACAAATTAAACGTGGGGTTTAATAAGCTCAATTGAAGTAAGTTCCATTCGACCTTTTAAAATAGGGATAAAAAATTTTCTTTTTCCCCAACTCTCTGTTAAGTTGACTACTGACTCTTAAGACAACGGCCAAAGTTTAAAGCACAGACACGGAAATACCAAAATCTAAGTGCCTGGAGAGGAGGAGGAGAAAGCGAGGTGGAGCGGAGTGCTGATCTCGGCGCCTCCAAAGCCCGCATCATGAATCGATGACACGGGACAATGAAACGTGAGCAAGGACAAGCTTGCGCAGCACCGTAATGTTAATTTGGGGACCCACCGGTTTTCCATATATGAGTCGACGAATAGCCGAAACACCCCAAAGTTAAAGCAGCCCCAATTCTGCCCAAGAACGGGTAGAGCTAAGAAGGCAGCGACCAATACTCCCGAACTCATCCCCGAGCACCCTGAGGCGCTGAGAGACCCCTGCTCCCAAAGGTACAGGAAGCCTCCGCACCCCCCGTGGCCCTAGCTGACGCTGCCCTCCCAGATTAGGCCCGGCCAGGCCCCCGCCCGGCCGGTCCCCAATTCTGGTCGGGCCGGCCGACCCTCGTCACCTCCCGTTTCTACCAGGTCAGACCAGGGCGAGCGGCGAATGGCTCTCCCGCGTCCGGCTACCTTGGTCGTCCGGATGTGCTCCATCCCGAGAAGACGTCTGCCGGCCTCACAGGCGTACCATAGAGTGACAGAAGCCGGGCGGCGACAGCGATCTGGAGCCAGGGGAAACTCCCTCAGCCGGCCAGTACCTCGGTCCGTCAGCCCGCCCCCGTCCGCGTCAACCGCGCAAGCGCAATCGGCGAGCACCGTCTCCTAGAAACACTTCCCCAAACCCGGCGGCCTTAGAGTGGTGCTGGGCGGGCAGGCAGAGGGTCCGCCAATAGAGAGCGGCGTCCTGGCTCATCCGGGGTCGCCGCAGATACCACAGTGCCCTCTGCTGGTGGAGGGCTGCTACGGCTCATCTACCCGTCCCAAGGCCTTACGGCTGGGCCAGAACCAGCCTAGCAGGGGCGCAGGGCGAAGGAGAAGTCTTTTCTCTGGACGAGAATAGATCCCGGGTCAAGAGCACTTTTGGTGGGTAAGGGAGAGATTGCATGTCGCTGAGGTGCATCACCGTACCAGTGGACAGCACCAAATTTAGTTTGAGCTACAATTCTATTCATAAGAATTTATTCTAAGGAAATAATCAGATACATTTACTATAGCCTTACTTGAAACAATCAAATTCTCCAATACTAAGGGATTAGTTATGTAAAGTAACATTGCTTTCATACAATGTTAGTACCAGCATCCATTAAAAATTATCCTGTGATATTACATAACAAACATGTTGAGTCTGTATTAACTGAGTTTAAAAAATTAAATGAAAACTGACTGTAAAACAGTAAATTCAATGTGACCATGTTTTAAAATTTGTATTTATGTAAACAAAAAGTTTACATGTTTAGATGGTAGGTGTATTAGTCCGTTTTCTGTTGCTTATAATAGAATACCTGAAACTGGGTAATTTATAAGAAAATGAAATTTATTCATTTGTTGTGAGGTTGTCACCCAGGAAAGGAACCAAATATTTAATTAAGAATTTTAACAGAGTCTTTATTAGCCGGCCAGCAACTGTCTCCCCTAGGTATTTTGGGAGAGCAGCAGCTAGCCTTGGTCTGGTGGAGTTTATAAAGGCAAAAACCACATCCCATTGGCACACGGATTTGTCCAGGTGCACAAAGTAAGCTAGGTAGCTAGGTTACAGAAGTTAAAAGTGAGCAATTAAAGCAATCAAGCATAAAAATTTCCATTGTGTAGGGTTCCTGTTCCAATGTAACAGTTCACTGTGTATGGCTCCTGGTTCTATGCAACGCTTTTTGTTTCTATGAAAAGGTCACACAGACGGGGGTAGTCCGACAATGAGAATTGAGCAGTGCCTTCCCAAGATGGCATTGGTATTGCTCAGGATTCTCTGCTACATTCCCCACTGGTTTTATGTATACGAGTCAAATCCTAGACTCATTTGTGTTTAATCTGTTACAGTGGGTTCTTAAACCCATTAAGTCTGCTGACTGAACTCTTTGTTTGATATATTTAGTAAGACAGGTGAGGGTACAGGCGCCTATTGTGAAGAACAGTAGAATTAAAAGCAAGGGACCAGCTAGGGCACCGGGAGAATAAGGTTTCATACCAGTTGTGCCTTTTTTTAAAATTTTTTTTTATTCTCTTTTAACCTTTTTCTGATTAGGGAGAGGCTGTCTCTTATCACTCCTGAGTGATTAGTATAGAAACAACAAGTTTCTCCTAAAGCCACACATAATCCACCTTGTTTTAGGAATAAGAGATCTAGGCCCCGTCTGTTTTGCAGCACCACTTCAGTGAGGGAATCTAAAGAAGTTTCCAGTCTGCTAACAGATTTTCCAGTTTGCCTAGGTCTAGATCAATTTGTTGACTTAGATCCTTAACGTTTTGATTACTTGTTATCAGAGCTGTGGTTCCCATAGCCGTGGACTCAGCTAAGCCTAAACCTACGAGTAAGGGGATGAGAACTGGGACAGCTCCTTTTGTTATTAGGTGTTGTCTTTCTGCCTCTCCTTCATAAAAATAGATTTGGGAAATGATGTGGACAAGAACACAGAATTCAGTTATGTTGGGTCTGAGGAAGAATCGGACGGCTATACATGGGGTTAGTCCTGTTAAGGAAGCAAACCAAGTGTTAGAGGGGGCAATAAGGTAATTGGAGGCTTGGGAACTGTGGTTTGCACTACTGATGGTGATTGCATATGTGCACGCTGTTCTATACGGGGAACTCTGGAGATTATAATGGTTAGTTTTTATACAAAGCCCTTGGTTTTGTATGCCACCAAGCGTGAGTTTGGGTTTCCTTCCTATAGACAAAGTTTGTCTTTGGCGATTGTAGTTAGATTTAGAGACGTAACAGTTTTGTTATTAACACCCAGAGAGCTGTTTACTCCTAGGTCAACCTAATATGGTGGTTCTGGGTTTAAGCATAACCAGCAATCTGTGGTTATATTAGGGTTTGACTGGTTGATAAACTTGAAAACTGAATCTAAAATTTTTAAGAGGGGATTTGTGAAGGCATAATTGGAGGTTCAGTTGAGGGACCTGGGTGTTGGAGCTTGGGGGGACAGATTAGGGTTCAGGGAAAATGGAGGAAGGGGTAGTACATCCTGGTTAGGGCCTATTGGGATGTTGGGGTGAACTTCTCCTTTTAACTGAATAGTGAATTTGCCACCAGGGTCTCATCTGATAACATACAATCTTAGACCCCATGTTGTGCCTGTATCCCACTTGGTGGTCATGAATGGGTTCCAAAGCCTGATGGTGAGGTTCATAGGATTGCATGTCCCTGGCTGACTACAACCTGGAGGTGGGGGTTTTCTGTTAAGGGATATGTAGGAGTCTGTATGAATTCAGGAAGCCTTGGTTTCACAACCCCTAGTGGCGCAGTGATAGTTTCCTTGCCCCTGGCAGGAAGGGCTGCCTGTTGTGGGCAGGCGTAAAATTGGGTCTGCTGGAGGCTTAGATCATAATTGAGCTGACCGCATGAGTGTTGGGAGAATAACATGGATCCTCCTCCAAAATAGCCTCCTGGAGTATAAGTGTGGGGCTTAGAACCCCCCGTCATAAGTTCACAGAGGTCTACTAAAAAGATGGGGGCACCAGGGGTGTGGATAGACCAAATGACCTCCCCAGTGACAGTATCCCTCAATTCCCAGGTGTAATTCTTGGGTTGATGAGGGCTTCCTGTTACAAGCACAGCTAAACATAGGACAATTAAGGAGGTGAGCGGGTGAGTCTTATCGTTAAGGGGTCCTTCTGGGAGCATTGAGCAATCCATCTTTCTTGGTGTTGACTTGGTTCTGATGACTCAGGCGTTCACTTGAGCTGAGTGTGGTGTATCCACTGACATTTTCCTGCCACTTTAATGGCCGTTGGGGTGGTTAGGACTATCTGGAAAGGCCCTTGCCACCTGGGCTCAAGAGTAGCAGAGTTGTGGCGTGTCACCAATATGAGGTCTCCCGGCTGGTATGGGTGTGGAGTTAGGTTCTTAGCTGGTGGGAAGGCCTCCTTAATCAAGGGGTGGATTTGGTGCAGTACCTGCTGGAGGGTTTGGAGAGACTGCAGAAGGTTATGGTTAGTGAGTTCAGCAAGTTTGTCATCCCTAAGATGGGGTAACAAGGGGGGTGGTCTTCCAAACATAATTTCATAAGGAGTGATTTCCTTGACATAGGGAGTGCACCTAACCCTTAAAAGGGCAAAGGGGAGGCTTACCCAGTTTTTGCCAGTCTCTAATTTTATTTTATTTATTTATTTATTTTTTGTGACCAGTAAGGGGAGCGTAACCCTTGGCATGGTGTCGCCTGCACTGCGCTCAGCCAGTGAGCGCACCGGCCATCCTTACATAGGATTCGAACCCGTGGCCTCAGCACTACCAGCACTGCTGCGCTCCCAGCGCCGCACTCTCCCGAGTGAGCCACGGGGCCGGCCCCCAGTCTCTAATTTTAACTTAGTGTTTCCTTTAAGGTTCAATTCATTCGTTCTACCTGTCCTGAACTCTGTGGCCTATAGACACAATGTAGATTCCATTTTATTTGTAAGGCTTTTGCTAATAATTGGGAAATTTGAGCTGTGAAAGCCAGACCATTGTCAGACCCCAAAGTCATAGGCAGACCGAATCTAGGGACAATTTCTTGCAATAATTTTTTAAGTGTTATTTGTGCGGTTTCAGTTTTTGTAGGAAAAGCTTCCACCCACCCAGAAAAGATGTATATAAATACCAAGAGATAGTGGTACCCATATTGTCCAGATTTTACCCCAGTAAAGTCAATTTCCCAATGTTCCCCAGGGCTGGATCCTCGTGTTCTGGTTCCTGCTGAAAGAAAGGCAGCGAGACCTGGTCTGACGGTTCACCAGAGAAGTTCCGTTTATTTAAAGACTGCGCGTCTATTTATAGAGAGCCACGTTCCGGGACTGGGTAGGAAGTGGAGGGGGCGGTAGCTGATTGGATTGGATTGGATGGGGGGTGTGTCCCGATTTGTGACAGGTTGGATTCTGGCGCTGGCGGGATCTTTTGGCGCCGGTGGGATCACTTACAGCAGAGAAGAACCCGGAAGGGCGCCATATTGCTAGGGAGTGTCTCCTGTTGGGTGCCCATGGGATCCCCACATTCCTCCCTTTTTCCTCTATTGCGGGGACAGGGTCGTCAAAGTCATCGAGCTACTTCCTGCTGGAGAGGGGCATTGTGGGGAGGAGGAATTAGCAGGGATAGGAAGCCCTTTATTAGGCCCCAAAGGAGCACGGGAGAGCATCCATGCATCTGCAGCCAAGGCACCCAGGAACAGAGACCATCGGTGGTGTAGATCCATCTCCTAACAGCGCATCAACCGTTCCGTTGAAGAGCAGGAGGGGGTCTTCTGTGGCCAGTAGCTGGTAGTTTCTAAGCAAAAGCTGGTTAGAAGCTTGGTTAGAGATTTTTCCAACTTGGACAGGGCAGAAAGAGACAGGCTACGAGTATAACGGTGAGAGGTCCAGGTAAGAAGCGGGTTTTGGATAAGAGAGGAAAAGGGTTGGGGTGGACGGCAGCCCGAAGATTAGAAGCTAGGTCAGTGAGTTTCCTGAACTTCTGGCCCACTTGCAGGCTCCGCGGGATCCATCGGTGAGCTTTGAATACAGGGTTATAACCTGGAAATGTGGATCCATGGAGTTACTTGGTTATTTGGTAGTGCAATTTTGGCAGCTGTGGGAGTGCATAGAATGATTGG